TGTGACATTCTCACCTTCCACTTCATGTTGGGGCTGGTCACGACTTTGCTTTCAGGACAGAGACTCCTTTTTATCAGCCTTTTACCAAGAAAGCACTTGGTATAGTCAAACGGAGATGATTTTGCTCTCATTTTCATGCAGTTTTGACGCTTGAGGTAAACAAAGGCAGACTATATTCAGAGGTTGTTTTTCGATGTGTTTTTGTGAATAGTACTTTCATTTTTATTACGGTAAATTCTGAAAGTTTCACACTTGTGGTTATTTCAAAGAAAGTTCAAGGCCCAGAAAAGAATGCACTTATTAGCCCTTTATAAATAACAGTTCATGGGTTGTTACTCTGAGAGCCTCTTGAGTTCTTCTGTATCTCAATTTTTAGGGGTCTCTGGTAGTCTTGATTATCTAATAAGATAATAATCAAAAGCTGTTCATAAAACTATTAACTTTGGGGTGATACTCTTATTTTCTCATAAACTTTGGGGAAAAACTCTGTTTTGGCCTTTCTCCTCTGTTGTGATGAAAAGTCCCCAACTTAGACAACTACACTGTTGTGTTGAGTTGTAGTAACAGCAAACATAGCCAGCTCTACCCGTGTCCTTTCCTGCTTATGGGATGGAAATTAGGCCTGACCCACTGGGATGATTTGAAGGACACACATAGAGCTGGGATCTCCCAGGGATGTGTGGTTGGCGGGAGGTGGTCGGGAGGCCTCCCAAGTGATGTCCCCGGAAAGCCCCATGAGTGCTTCTCTCCAGATTCTCATTCTCCCTCTTATTTTCTGTAGGAGCAGAACTGGTGGTCTGGACTCTCAGTTTTATCTAAACCAGCTTAAGAAATCCACTCTTCAACTGGAGGTTGAGTGTCCTCTTCTCTGAGCTGGCTGCCTCTAGTGAGGGCATGGTGCCAGTTGTTGGTACACAAGGGGAATGTTGGAAGTCAGCTCGAGGGCACTGATCTCATCTCTAAGAGTCTCTGAGCGTCTGTCTCCTCCTTGGACTGCCTTTATCATGTGCTGTGGGCCTGGAGGCATGAGATCCTCTCCTAGGGGCTGGTCCTTCCATTGTGAACGAACCCACCTCTTATGGGAATAGAGGCTGAATCCGCTTCCCCCCTCCTTTCCTGGTCTCTCCTTTCCTTGTTCTGTTAGATTGAGTGCACAGTTAAACTCTAGCTATCTGCTGAACTTAGTTCCTAATTGGAAATCGAGGGAGAATGTCCTGAACCCTTTTGCTAATTTCCTTTGTGAACATTCAATCATTCTGCTTCTCTGGGATCCTGACTGCTTCTGAAATGAGGTGATCCGCTGCATTTTTTTCAAGGTTATACGAAATTGAAACGTGAGAAAGTGAGCTAGGGGTAGTGATCATGTCCGTCACTTCATTTCTCCCATGCTTGCTTATTTTTTCTTTGTTAAATACATAGGACATTAAGATGCTTCTGAAAGGGAAACTTATTTCCAAAAGTGTGTTCACGTTTTCCTTTTCTCTACCCCTTGTAGGTAACTTACTTCATTAGTTTCTAGTTTCCCTCTTCTCTTTCTTTGCAAAGATAAACATATGCATGTATGTTTTCTTATTTCCTCTTTTTCCTACACACAAAGTAATAAACAGTATATACTGTTTTAGACTTTGCCTTCTTCATTTAACAGTATAGCCGGGAAATTGTTCTGCATCAATTCATAAAGCTTTTCCTCATTCCGTCTTCACAGCTGCATAGTACTCCAGCGTGTGTATGTGCCAACCTGTCTCTGAGTTGGGGGTTTTTAGGTAGTTTCCATTACGTTACAAATAATGCTGCAGTGGATAATCTTCTGCATGTCTATTTTTGTGTCGTTGGGGGTATATCTTCAGGGTAGATTCCCTAGAAGTGTGATTACTGGGCCAAGAGGTGAAGATAGTGTCCTGTATAGTAGCTGTACCCTTCTGAATTCCCTCTAACAGTGGGTGAAAACTGGCTTCTACACAGCCCACTCAACAGAATGAACAACCAGGCCTTTGAATCTTTGCTTATCTGATGGGTGAGAAATGGCATCGCAGTGTGGGTTTAACTTGCACGTCTCTTATTATAAGTCGAGCATGTTTTCTTATATTGAAGTTGAACATGTTTTCACATATTAACGTTCATCTTCACATTTTTGTCTTTTGTGACTCATCTGTTCTTGTATTTTGTCCACTTTTTTCTACAGGACTTTTTAATCTTTTCCCCTAAGCTTAAGCAAGTTCTTTATATAAGTGTGCATATAAAATATTATATAAACATCTGAGTACAGTTTATATATTAATATTATTGATATTTGCTATTTATCCACTTTATATGTTGCAAATGCTTTCTTTAATTTATTTTTTAAAAGCTTGCTTATAACGTGTTATCCCATGGTAAAGTTTAAAAACTTTTAAATAGTCAAATGTATTGATTTTAAATGTTATTATTTTAATTTTAGTTTTTTGATTCGGAGTCTCACTCTGTCACCCAGACTGGAGTGCAGTGGCACGGTTATGGCTCACCACAACCTCGGCCTGCTAGATTCAGGCAGTCCTTCTGCCTCAGTTTATCGAGTAGCTGGGCCTACAAGCTTACGCCACCATGCCTGGCCAATTTTTATTTATTTTTGAGACGGGTCCTCACTATGTTGCCTAGGTTGGTCTTGAACTCCTGGGCTCAAGCAATCCTCTCCCCTTGGCCTCCCAAAGTGCTGAGATTACAGATGTAAGCCACCGCACCCAGCTTAATTTTTAAATTTTATTGCATCTGGTGTTAAGAAAGCCTTTCCCTATACCTGTGTTAGAAAATAGTAATGGCGATTGTTTGTGGACAACTTGCCTTGTAAAAGGTGCTGTACTCAGCCTTTCCAAAGCAAGCAAATTATGCAATTTATTTATGCAGTAAATACTCACATATCATTATATTTAGTTATTGAAAGAGCTCTGTGAATTCCTAGGAGGCAGTGGCTTTGGGGACAATTAGACTTGGCTTGTCGCTGACTGCACCACCTACCAGCTTTGTTACCTGGCACATGGCATCTGTGTCCTCCAAGTTTCAGTGTCTGTAAAAAAGGGGATGATAATAGCGGTACTACCTCAGAGGGTTGTTATGAGAATCACCTGAGTTAATACTTGCAAAGGGCTTAAAACGGTTTCTGACACCTAGTTAGTGTTGAACAAAAGTTGGCTCTTCAGTGACTGTACATCTTTTTAGTGGAAATGCAACATTGGTATGGTAGGCAGGCCAGTCTTTTGGTCTATCGCAATTGACCACGGCCCCCAAATTTAAGAACCATTGAGTTAGATGAGGAGGGGAGAACCAAAAAACCCCGGAATTTATTTATAAAAAATTGTGAATTTATTCTTACATGTTTAAACCTCAGTCACCTTCAAGGTACTCTCTGTTTGATGCAATACACCTATCGAGATGCTTTTTCTATTGCTCAAAACAGTTTCGAACTTGTTAATTTTGATGCCTTTTGGTGCTTCTGCCATTTTTTGTTTCACCTTGGCAAAATGTTTCCCTTTGAGGATTTTTTTTCATCTGGGGAAACAAAGACAAATATCACTCAGGGTGAGATCCGGGGAATGGGGAGGGTGGGGCACAGGGGTCATGCTGTTTTGTTTTTTTGGTTTTTTTTTCTTTTTTTGAGTTGGAGTCTCACTCTGTTGCTCAGATTGGAGTGCAGTGACCACAGCCTCGACCTGCTGGGCTCCAGCGATCCTTCCACCTCAACCTTCCAAGTAGCTGG